AATGTCATTGTTGAAGTTAGCGAAGAACTCTCGGCATAAAGTCTCATAGAGTGGATGCAGTCTCTCCACTAACTTTTGCCATCCACGGAGCTGAATTAAATTGACCAACTCAAAACCCGGGAAGTCATCAAGCTTAACTGGTCTTTCAGCATGTAAAGTCCAATGGCGTACGATGTTTTCGTATCGTGCCGCAGTAGTTGCAGTTAAGATTCGCTGAACTTCGCCCCGAGCTCTCGAGTGCGGGCTGTTCCGGTGGAGGAGCTTGCCTTTTCCTTCCCGCGCACTGTTCTTTTAGGAGGCATTCTGCAAAATTGGTAAGATTATACTCATTAATTCTATGTGAAAAGCATAGGCGGGAAATGAGAAAAAAATAAAACATGCATTGCACAAATTCCCTGAACTTTCCTAGATGCATGTGTAGTGATATGGTGTACACTAGTCAGGCTATGATGTTTAATTGAATTCATGTATTTTGCCTATAAGAAAAATGGGGAAAAACTCGGTGTAACTAAACAACATTTCAGAATTTGGAACCATGACCAAGTGCAAACTTTCGGCCCTTGATATCATTGAGAATTATTAAAATTGTCCGGACAATCTCCGGACATATCAAAGTATTCATTGAAGTGTAGCACATACTCGAATTTCAAATCAATTGGAGGTTGTTTGGTGTGTCAAATGAAGATGCAAAATAGGGGATGGAGGTTGCCGTGATGTGCGGTGACCTAGTCATGTGCCTATGTGGTGCAATGTGAAAGTGGGTGTTGTCTAGTTCAAATTAATTGGGAATCCGTTGAAATATATCGTATGCCATGTTGGTGAAACAGCGTATATGCAAAAGGCACCTAATTGTACACACAAGGGTATTGTGTTATTTAAGCAAACACTTGGTGTGCATTATGTGAAGATGCTACCAATGTAATGAATTGAATGTAAGAATCATTCCAAAGTTTCCACAACACAGTCACATCAAATCCAAACACACATGAACAAGCCTAATCTCCCTCAAATCGTCAAAATTGAAATTTCAATCATGAAAAACCCGAAAACGGAATTGAGAGGGATGTAAGAATACGTACCTTGTATTTGTAGGGTTGAATTGAGTTCAAAACTTGAGTTCCTTTCGATGCTATTACAATGCAATGATGAGATTTGTGTGTAGAATATGTGATGCTAGCTCAAAATCGTGCCCTAGGAGAGTGCGGTCGGGAGAGAGTTTGGGGAAAAAAATATGGAAGTTAAAGGAAGGAACCGGTCATGGGTTAAAAACCCACGCCTTATTATTGCCATGCGGCCGCATGGCTTTAGCCTCTGCGGTCGCATGGTTCAAGTGACTTTGGCCACTTAATTCTCGGGTCCTATATATGCGGTCGCACTGTGCGACCGCATGGGTGAATTTTATTTTATTTTTTTATTTTTTTATTAATTTTTTTTTTTGCATAGGAAAGAATTAATAGTAAGAATAAAATAAAATGATACCCCCGAAAATCCGACTTTTGACTAAAATTGTGGTTTTCACTTGAAGAATTGACCCGGCTCTCAACGTCTCCAAATTTTTTTTTAAGTCACACATTGATATGTGAAATTTAGAAAATAAAATTTACCTCGAAAAGCATGAATTTCACACCCAATCACCCAAACTACTCCAATCAACCCGACTCGTGTGTGATGCTGAAGGACTCCTATGAACAGTGTTTGGACTCTTTTAACATGTATGGATGATCAATGACCACATAAAAAAAATGCAAAAATTGAAATTGAACAAAAAGATAATTTCTAATCTAATGCAGAGAGCATAATAAATTAAATAAAAAGGATACAGTGGGTTGCTTCCCACCCAGTGCTATGTTATAGTCGATAGCTCGACTTTTCTGCAAATGCTTCATTCTAGCATCTCGAGTTGAACGGTGGACTTTTGGTTGGAGAAGTAGCCGCCCCAGTAGTGTTTCAGTCTTTGCCCATTAACAGTGAAGGTACCCTTAGTCTCGTGGCTCACTTGTATAGCTCCATACGGTAGAACCTTTGTGACAGTATAAGGACCCGACCACCTTGATCTTAGTTTTCCTAGGAAAAGCTTGAGTCTCGAGTTATACAATAGCACTTTCTGCCCCACTTCAAACTCTCGCCTTTGAATATGCATGTCGTGCCACTTCTTCGCTCATTCCTTGTAAAGTTTTGAATTTTCGTAAGCTTCCATTCTAAACTCATCTAACTCATTAAGTTGCAGTAGATACTTTTCACCGGCGGTGCTCAAGTCCATATTCAACTGTTTCATAGCCCAGTATGCCCGGTGCTCCATTTTTAGTGGCAGATGGCACGCTTTCCCAAAGACTAGGCGGTATGGAGACATGCCGATCGGGGTCTTGAATGTTGTTCTGTAAGCTCATAATGCATCGTCCAGCTTTTTAGACCAATCATTTCTAGATGAATTGACAGTGACTTTTAGTATTCTCTTCAGTTGCCGATTAGATACCTCAACTTGCCCGCTGGTTTGTGGATGATATGGAGTAGCAACGCGGTGTTTAACGCTATATTTATTCAACAACTGCTCAAACTGGCGATTACAGAAATGCTTGCCCTCGTCGCTGATTATAGCCCGCGGTGTACCATATCGGGTGAAAATATATTTCTTCAAGAACCCAATTACTGTCTTTGAGTCATTTGTTGGCAATGCAACTGCTTCCACCCATTTTGATACGTAATCCACTACTACCAAGATATACTAATTTGAGAACGAAGGGGGGAAAGGTCCCATGAAGTCAATTCCCCAAACATCAAATATCTCCACTTCCAAAATGTTATTCAGTGATATTTCATTCCTCCTCGAGATATTCCCAGTGCGTTGACATCGGTCACATCTCTTAACAAACTCAAATGTGTCTCTAAACAGTGTAGGCTAGTAGAACCCTGATTGTAGAATCTTTGCAGCTGTTTTTGAAGCCCCAAGTGCCCTGCGTATGCAGATGAATGGTATTGCTCGAGAATTTCATGTATTTCTTCCTCAGGTATGCGTCTTCTTACTATCTGATTAGCCCCTCGCCTATAGAGAATTGGGTCTTTCCAAAAATAATACTTCAATTCGGCGAAAAACTTTTTCCTTTGGTAACTCGAGTAGTCCAGTGGTGGGATGGAACTGGCCAAGTAATTGACGATATCTGCATACTAAGGTGCTTCATCTACTCTCAACATCTGCTCATCTGGAAAGATCTCATTAATGTCCACTAATTCATCTGTCCCCCAGGCTCTAATCGGGATAGGTGATCCGCTACTACATTCTCACTGTCCTTCTTGTCTCGTATTTCGATATCGAATTCTTACAGCAATAGCACCCAACGAATCAACCTCGGCTTTGCATCCTTCTTTGTGAGTAGATACTTCAATGCAGCATGATCTGTGTAGACTATAACTTTAGACTCGACAAGATATGACCTGAATTTGTCGAATGCATATACTACAGCCAATAGCTCCTTTTCAGTGGTGGCATAGTTGATTTGCACTTCATTAAGAGTCCTACTTGAATAGTAAATTACGTGAAAGATTTTGTTTCTCCGTTGTCCTAATACTGCACCCACGGCGTGATCACTTGCATCACACATCAATTCAAAAGGGAGTTCCCAGTCTGGTGCCACAATTACTGGTGCTGTCGTAAGCTTCTCCTTTAAGGTGTTGAATGCTGTGAGGCATTCTTCATTAAACTCAAAGGTTATGTCTTTCATTAGAAGATTGCATAACGGTTTATTGACCTTCGAGAAATCTTTTATAAATCTCCTATAGAACACCGCATGCCCCAAGAAACTACGAACTCCTTTAATTGATATAGGTGGTGGTAACTTCTCAATAACTTGAATTTTTGCCTTGTCCACCACAATTCCTTTTGTTGAGGTTCGATGCCCGAGTACAATGCCTTCTTGCACCATAAAGTGACATTTCTCCCAATTTAAAACCAGATTAGTCTCCTTCCATCTCTGTAAGACCAAATTCAGTTGCTCTAAACATTCATCGAATGAAGATCCAAACACTGAAAAGTCGTCCATGAAAACTTCAATAAACCTTTCAATCATATAGGAGAATATTGCCATCATACATCTCTGAAATGTGGCTGGAGCGTTGCAAAGACCAAAAGGCATCCTACGATAGGCAAAAGTACCATAGGGACAGGTGAAAGTGGTCTTCTCCTGATCTTCTGGTGCGACAGGTATCTGATTATAGCTCGAGTATCCATCTAGGAAACAGTAATGTGAATGTCCAGCCAATCTTTCTAACATCTGATCGATGAATGGGAGGGGAAAATGATCCTTTCGCGTGGCTGCATTGAGTTTGTGATAGTTGATGCAAACTCTCCATCCCGTAACTGTTCTGGTGGGAATTAATTCATTCTTCTCATTTTTCACCACTGTGATTCCCCCTTTTTTCGGTACCACTTGAACTAGGGTAATCCATGCACTATCTGAAATTGGGTAAATAATTCCTGCATCCAATAATTTCAATATCTCTGCTCTGACCACTTCCTTCATGTTCGGATTTAATCTTCTCTGACCCTATATACTTGGCTTGCAATTTTCCTCCATTAGAATCTTATGCATGCATAGAGAAGGGCTGATTCCTTTAATGTCAGCTATTGTCCACCCAATCGCCGTCTTGTTCTCTCTGAGTACCCTGAGCAATTTTTCTTCCTCCACCTCACTGACTGTATTCGAAATGATTTCTGAAAGTGTATCTGACTCCCCCAAATATGCATATCTGAGATGTGGCGGTAGTTGCTTGAGTTCCAAAACTGGTGGCTGCTGAATGGAAGGTAATGGCTTTGTATTTCCCGTCCTCAGTTCTTCGAAGTGCCTCTTCGGGTGTATGGCGGGTTGGTCTCCAAAAATCTTGCACATGTTTCAACTTCAAGAGACTCTGACTGGACTGATTGGGATTGTGCAATACATGCCTCATAGGTATCAGATGGAACGTGTAGTAAGAATGTTCTTGTACTGCTTGTCAATAATGTCAACTTGCTAACAGCTGTCAGAAATAATGTCAACTTGATAATAGCTGTCAAATTCTGCTGGTAGTTTCATTGCCTTGGATACATTGAATGATATATGCTCCTCTTCCAATTTTAAAATCAACTGACCCCTTTGAACATCAATTAACGCTCTCCCTGTTGCCAGAAATGGTCTGCCAAGTATCAATGGGACATCTTTGTCCTCTTCCATGTCCAGGATAAGAAAATCCGCTGGAAATATGAACTTCTCAACCTTGATAAGCACATCTTCAATTATTCCTCTGGGATGTGTCAATGACCTGTCAGCCAGCTGAAGTGTCACAGTGGATGCTTTAGCTTCTCCCAAACCGAGTTTCCTGAAAACAGACAAAGGCATTAAATTAATACTTGCACCGAGGTCATATAATGCTTTATCGAAATATAATTCACCGATTTCGCAAGGAACGGTAAAACTCCATGGATCTTTTAGTTTTGGTGGAAGCTTATTCTGGATTCTGGCACTACATTCCTCCGTAAGCATAACTGTCTCATGGTCTTCCAGCTTGTATTTATTTGATATGATATCCTTCAGAAATTTCACGTAGCTAGGCATCTGGAACAGTACATCAGCTAGTGGGATGTTGATATGGAGCTTTTTGAAGACTTCTAGAAATTTTTTGTATTGTTGCTCCACTTTTTGCTTCTTCAAACGCTGTAGGAAGGGAATCGGAGGCTCGTAGGGGTTGACTGTGACTTTGGCCTTATCCTGTGAGTCTTCTGAATTTTCCTTTGAACTTGATTCCTTTACAACAGTCTCTTCTTCAGTGGGGGAAGATGTTTCTCCAATCACACCCGGTCTCTTGACATGGATTTCAGGAAATTACACTCTATTTCGAGTTGTAATGGCCTTGGCTTGCTCTTTAGGATTGATTTCTGTATTACTTGGTAAGTTACCTGGCGTTTTGCCAGTCAATGTGATGGCTAGCTACCCCATCCGAGTTTCTAAATTTTTTATGGCTGCATTTTGATTTTGAAGTGTAGCTTCAGCCTTCTCCATGAATTTTCCTATCATATCTTCCAATTGAGGTCTCTTCTCTTGTTGTTGAAATTGCCCCTGTGGCTTATTCTGATTCTGGTTGCTCCAAGAGAAGTTGGGATGCTTCTTCCAGCTGGGATTGAAAGTCTATCCATATTTATTGTGTTGCTAGTGTTGTCCCCACTGTGCGTAATCTGCTTGCTCAATTCCTTGCATGAGTATTGGACAATCTGATGTTTTGTGCTCGGCTCCACATTCCTCACAATTGCTCCTCTTAGCTTGTGATGCTTGTGATATGCTTTCCACCTTGTGATACGGAGAGTCAACTTTTGCAGATATTGCTGAATAAACGTCCACCTCATAGACTCCTGGAGTTTTCTTTGGGATAGCCCTCTCAGAAGACCCCATGGCTGATGTGGTAGCCATTCGCTCAAATAATTCCAATGCCCCATCAACTGTTCGTGTGGATATTGAGCCATCTGATGCTGAATCCACCATGCTCTTATGGTATGGAAGTAATCCTGTGTAGAAGAATCGAATCTGGGTCTTTTTATTGAACCCATGCTGAGGGCATTTTCGGAGAATGTTTTTAAATCTGTTCCAGGCTTCATCAAATGATTCATTCTCTCCTTGATTGAATACTGATTTATTATGCCTCAGCTTTGCTATCTTGGTTGGGGAGAAGAACTTTGTGCAGAATTTGTGTGCCAGCTCATTCCATGTAGTGATACTTGCAACCAGGAGTGAATCCAACCATTCAAGTGCTCTGTCTCGTAACGTATGTGGGAAAAACCTTAACCTGATAGCGTCATCCGAAATCCCTTGGTATCTGAAATATTGACACATATCTAGAAATCGAGATACGTGTGTGTGTGGATTCTCCTCGGCTTTGCCATAGAATTGGTGTCCATTTTGAAACCGCTGTATTACATTGGTCTTCAATTGAAAGTTTGGCTGTCCAAACGGTGGATATACAATGCTGGATTGGCTTTGAATCACTTGAGGAGTCAAGAAGTCCCCCAGAATTTCATTTCCTTCATCCACTGCCTCTCATTCGTTAGCTTGAATAATAGGATTGTTTAATTCGTTGGCCATTTGTACTTATGCTTCGCGGTGATCTCTTTGTCGTCGATGAAAGGTGCACTCAATTTCAGGATCAGCTGAAATCAATTCTCCTCCAGGTAATCGTGACATGCAAATCTGAGAATTAAAACCAATACGAGCACTGAGATTCAAACAATTTAAATAACTAAAACACAAATAAAAGATAATAACCCTAAATAAAAATAAAAAAAATTATGCTAGCAAAATAAAAATTGAGTTCGAATTAGTGCCTCGAGAAATAAAATTAAACTAAACTCAATCTCCGGCAACGGCGCCAAAAACTTATTCGCGAAATTATTTCTTTCGATTTTAATCCACCGCAAGTGTACGGTTTGTTAACAAGTAATAAAGTGGATTCAATGAGTCTGAATATCTTTCCACGGAGATTGATTAGTTCAAATTTTATCTACCTTAGCCTTAACCGAAACTAAATTACCAAAATGAATGTAGACCTAATTGAACTTCAATTATATAAATTTTTTTTATGATTAAATTGAAATTAATAAGCAAAACAATAAATTAAACTCAAGAATGAAATTTAAAAGTTGAGAACGCACTTGTTATAATTATTAGGAATGAAATACGCTAGGATCACAAATTCCCATGCAATTATCACTTTAAACCCTAGTTTCACAATATGACAACACATTTCAATTTTAACGAATCAATGGTCCTAAGTCTATCAAATACTCTCTCTCGAGATGTATCAAACATATCTCTACATACCATCGGTCTATATTTCTATGACAAGAGCATATGTAAAAATGCATGCGATTTTATGAACATTTAAAGATTCACGTAGAGCATAGCGGTATATTTCTATCCACTATCGGACCCTACGATGATTTATATTATGTCAAATCTATTTCAATTCTCTCGAATGCAAGAATAAATCACTTAAATTCACACAATTACGAGCCCTTAATTGCGGAAACATTAATTGCATATAAATCATTCAACATAATAAAAATTGTGTCTTAACATCAAATTGCAAAACTAGAATATTAAAATTCAAATCACATGGTTCATCGATCTTCTAGCATAATAAAAATCTAGCCTAGCATGCTTAAAATAACAAAATACATCAAAGTTTGTATATAAGACATCACCGGGTTATAAAACTTGAATAAATCTTGAAGTTCTTCGTGCCAATCTTTGTTCTTGCGCTCAAATCCTCTCCAAAAGTTGTTTTTCGGCCTCCAATTACGTTCTAGGCGTCTCTAGAATGTTTTTGATAATTATATCTCGTGAAAAATTAGGTTACCATAGGTATTTCAATCGTATAAGGAAAGAAAGAAATTTGCGCTGAAATTGTACCATGCGACTGCATGGTTTTAATTCGTGCGACTGCATGGTTATCCTCTTTTTTCAGTTGAATTCCCTGCTTCACTTTGTGGGCCGTACGACGTTTCTACCATGCGATCGCATGGTAGAATTACTCTTTTATTTCCTACAATTTGGTCCATTTACTTTAATCTTCCACTTCTTTGCATCTTTTCTTCATTCTTCACATTCCATCATCCCAAAATGTCATCAATTTGTATTTGGCAAACTCAATTTCTTGATTTGTTCATCGGGTCAACTTTTGGGTAATTGCACCTCGGTCCTTGAACTTTCACTTTGTATCATTTTAGTCCTTTTTCGCGTCTTTTCTCATGTATTTCACCATGTTCATCAGTGTTACCTACAATTCACAAATGTAATAAAATTAAGTCACAATCCAATCATTTTATTCTTAATTAAGTCATGTTTGTAACCTAAATAAGTGTGCAAAAATATACTTATCACGTTCTATCAACTTTTATCTTTAGCTAAATAAAACAGGTGTATGTATATCAATTGATTTATGACCTAAATTACTTCATAGGGGGAACCCTTGGATTTTTATAGCACTGAATACTCTTCTCACAAATATTTGTATTACTCAAGTCGACATTCTTGCAAGTTGGTCATAATGTTTCCTTGGATGTAGCTAGTAGAGCCATCACGAATAGCATTCAGTTATGGCGGAGAAGAGCAAGCAAAAGCCGTTAAAGTAATGGGTGAGGCCTTGGAAATTCTCGAAGGCGAAATAAGAGGGAAAAAGTTCTTTGGAGGGGAAACTGTGGGATATCTTGATATTGTGGTTGGTTGGATAGGTTATTGGCTTCAATTCACTCAACAAGTGGGTAATTATAAGGTAATGGATTCAACAAAGTACCCAGAGATTAATTTGTGGATTAGCAGATTCTTGCAAGTACCCATAATTAAGGAAAATCTTCCCCCTTACAGTGAAATGTTAAGAATGTATAAGATGTACAAACAGATGTCCCTTGATTTGGCAAATGTTATAGAATAGGAGTGATTCTTGCAATGTTGTACTTCTTTCATGTTTCACCTTTGATAGATGTATTCAAACACATTTCTTACGAATTGTATGTGACCAAGTCGTATTGTGATGGGAAGCATGAAGGGGACACCGAGATATAGAACTGATTTCTTTTAGTCTCCAGCTTCTTGTCTTGTCCGAATATCCCCATTTAGAGGTGTCAAAATGGACGGGTCGCCAATAGCCTTAACCGGCATGGCCCATCATGGTCAGCAATTCGGGCCAGCACATTAACAGCTTGTTTGGGAGTGATTTTTTTATCCAAAAAATTGATTTTTTGACTGTTATTTCACTATTACAACAACCATATTTGACTTTTTCTCTCACAGGTGGACCCCACTTTTCTCCTAACGATCAAAAAATCAATTCTCAAAATCACTCTCAAACGGGCTCTAAATTTTCACTAGGCCTGGACTGCCTAAATGAGAAATGAGTTGAACCATAAATATTATTATTTTTAATTAAATTACAAAAATGGAAGAATTAATTCTGCCTTGGGAATCTATGAATTTATTTTTTAATTAATTTTTAAAAATATTAAATAGGCACACAATTAACCCCGAGCCCAAATTTAGAGTCCAGACCGACCCAACAATTAAGGATGACAGCCCGGGACCAACCCACTTCAGGCCTTGGTTTTTCCCGAGCTGGCCTAGCAGTTTAGAGCCTACCCGTCTTGACACCTCTATCCCCCTTCTTCAAGGGGGCTTTAGGTTGGTCCATGCAACTAAATGTGGTGGATTACACATTTAATGAAATATTTTAGTATTTGTATAAATATAATTCTGCTTTTGAAATCAATTAAAAAAAAATAAAAAATAAAATAAAAAATTAATTAAATAAAAGCAAGAAAGGGATTCTCTGTCTATTGGGTTGGTGAGTAATTCATTCTTTAAATGGTCTCAAAAATGTCGATACAATTTACTCAGTCTTGTATTCTTTCTCGAAAAGCTTTTCATAAGTAAAAAGCAAGAAAATATTTATAATTACGTTATCTTCATAACTGCTAATGTATAAGTTGATCCTGTTGAAAGAATGTATAATTGCATTGTCTCTGACTCTCTATTTTTATTTTTATATCCTTATAATATTTTCTCTTAATTCGCCACCCGACCTTGACCCCACCCTTAAAAGTAGTTTCTAACACATTCGACGTAAAAGACTGACTTCAACAAGAGTGGTTCAGCAACCCCGAGCCCAAATTTAGAGTCCGGACCGACCCAACAATTAAGGATGATAGCCCAGGACCAACCCACTTCAGGCCTTGGTTTTTCCCGAGCTGGACTAGCAGTTTAGAGCCTACCCGTCTTGACACCTCTATCCCCCTTCTTCAAGGGGGCTTTAGGTTGGTCCATGCAACTAAATGTGGTGGATTACACATTTAATGAAATATTTTAGTATTTGTATAAATATAATTCTGCTTTTGAAATCAATTAAAAAAAAATAAAAAATAAAATAAAAAATTAATTAAATAAAAGCAAGAAAGGGATTCTCTGTCTATTGGGTTGGTGAGTAATTCATTGTTTAAATAGTCTCAAAAATGTCGATACAATTTACTCAGTCTTGTATTCTTTCTCGAAAAGCTTTTCATAAGTAAAAAGCAAGAAAATATTTATAATTACGTTATCTTCATAACTGCTAATGTATAAGTTGATCCTGTTGAAAGAATGTATAATTGCATTGTCTCTGACTCTCTATTTTTATTTTTATATCCTTATAATATTTTCTCTTAATTCGCCACCCGACCTTGACCCCACCCTTAAAAGTAGTTTCTAACACATTCGACGTAAAAGACTGACTTCAACAGGAGTGGTTCACCTGCCCATATAACTAAGTTATGACATTTAAATATAGAGTTTTCTTTATTATGCATATCAGCACCTTCATCAGACGTGGTGCAATTCATGACCTAAATTAGGAATTTCAAGTCTAGTTAGGTATAACTTACAAAAACACAAAATGTGGAAGACTATTGCTACTTCTTTGAAGAAGGGATTTTCTATTTAAGATAGAATTATTCTTGTTGTACCCGTTAGTTGACATAGTCCCTGACAGAAGGAGGTGGAATTGTTGATTAAAATACACAAATTAATTCTTGTACAAACAAGTTGGCAACCACTAAATAATTAAAAATTATTTATTTTGAATCCAAACAACTGGGCCGCCTTTACCTTTCCCTACCCGACCCAAACAACTGGGCCTCCTTTACCTTTCCCTACCCGACCCTATACCCACGAAACAAGATGAGAAACCTTCGAACTTGCATATCAGACAAGGCGTGAACTGGGGGACGTCTCTTAGGCATGAACTTGCATACCCTCTTCGAGCGAAATACGGGCCATCTTCTCCAAATTTCACCATTTGCAGTGCCAAAAAATTTCAGACAGATATTGGAAGGAGTTATTCGAAAATGGCAGACAAAGGTAATGGGTATTTTCTGATTTTCAAATTTCTATAATGTCAGCTAGAATGGTGGATTTTATTCTTGAGTTAATCACAAACTTGCATTTATAGTTGTTGAATCTCATAATGTAATGTGAGGAAAACATTGTTTCGATTCAATGTTGTGGAAAATTTACAGATTGTGGTAATGAATATTTTTTCATATTGTGGAAAATAAAATGTGCCGGAAATGGTTCTTGTTAGGGAATGAAAAACTTGTGTTAATAGTCATTGTTTGTTGTGAAAATTAATTTTTGGTCCAATGTTGGTTGACATTATTTTTAGAGAGAAAGTTACCGTTCGGTTAAATAATTTTCATGACGAAATTTATATGTATTGTGGAAAAATCATTATTGCAACTGATTTTACGTTTACGTTGCAGGGAAAGATATGTTGGAGAATTTGGATGACATTGTTTTGGTAGAATCCGAGTCTGAGAATGTCGTGGAGAAAGTGAACTTATTGGGTGATGAAATTGTAGCAAGAGATGATGTGCCTTTGCGAGTGCCTGAGGTCGGAATGAAGTTCAATGATGAAAATGAATTGTTTGACTACTACAAAAAATTTGCTTACGCCGAAGGTTTTCCAGTTAGGAAAAAAAATTCCAAAAAGGACAACGATGATGTTCTGAGATATGTCACAATGACTTGTAGTCGTGAAGGAAAAAGAAGTAGTACTACAATTGGTTCTTTGAAATCGCAACCAACCATTCAGACAGGTTGTAAGGCGAGGTTGATTGCATCTATGGACAGTCGCGGAATATGGAGAATAAACACAGTAAATTTGGAACATAATCATAAAACAAGTCCATCCAAGTCAAGACTATATCGATGTAATCGAAAGTTGAGCGCTCATGTTAAACGGCGGCTACAAGTTAATGATATAGCAGGAATTTTATTACATAAAAGTTTCAACTCTGCAGTAGTCGAAGCAGGTGGATACGAAAATATGACGTACATGGAAAAGGATCGTCGAAACTATGTTGAGCAAGTTCGGCGTCTGAGACTTGGAGAAGGGGATGCTGCAGCAATACAATCATACTTTTCGAAAATGCAAGCTAGTTTTGCCAGGTTTTACTTCTGTATAGATCTGGACGAAGATTCGAGGCTGAAGAGTGTGTTTTGGGCAGATAATAGAAGTAGGCAGGTGTATAAAGAGTTTGGTGATGTCGTCACATTCGATACCACATACCTCACCAATAAGTATGACATGCCGTTTGCTCCTTTTGTTGGAATTAATCATCACGGACAATCTACTCTGCTTGGATGTGGGCTAGTCTCGAATGAGGATACAGATACATTCGTCTGGCTGTTTAGGACATGGCTGCAATGTATGCATGAAAAAGCTCCCCAGGGTATAATTACTGATCAAGACAAGGCAATGCAGAATGCAATTGCAATTGTGTTCCCCGATACGAAACATAGATGGTGTTTGTGGCATATATTGAAAAAGTTACCGGAGAAGTTTGGATATCACGTGGACAAGGGTTCAGTATTTCATGCTATACACAGTTTGGTTTACGATTCACAATTTGTCGAAGAATCTGAAGATGGATGGAGGGTAATGATTGATACATATGATTTGCATGATAATGCATGGTTGTCGGGAGTGTATGATAACAGATGCCGATGGGTTCCGTGTTACTTCAAAACCAGCTTCTGGGCAGGAATGTCCACAACTCAACGCAGTGAGTGTATGAACGCGTTCTTTGATGGCTATGTGCATTCAAAGACTTCGTTAAAGCAATTTGTCGAACAATATGAACGGGCTTTGAAGAATAAAGTTGAGAAGGAGATTCAAGCTGATTTCAAGTCTTTCTCACAAATGGTGCCATGTGCTACGAGGTATGAAATGGAGAAGCAATTTCAAGCTGTATACACCATTGCAAAGTTTAGAGAAGTTCAAGAAGAATTCACCGGGAAGCTTTATTGTGACTTGATCTCGACTTCGGAGGGAAGTTCGGGGACAACATATGAGGTATGCGAGGAACAAATAAATGATGAGCAATCGCACGGAAAAACGTTCTTCGTCTCTTTTCAGCGAGAAGATTGCCAAATTGTTTGCAGTTGCCACCTATTTGAATTTCGAGGAATAATATGCAGGCACATGATTGTAGTATTGATTCGTAATGGCATCAAACATGTACCAGATAGGTATATACTACGGAGATGGCGGCGAGATGTAAGTAGATCCCACACAAGGGTTGCAATTCATTAGGATGAGTTGACTAGTACCCCGGGGCAGTTAAGGTATATGACAAACTGTGTCAGTCTTTTGCTACGTTGGCGGACTTGGTCGCAGATGATGAAAGCAAAGCTGCAAGTATACAAAAATGGATCGAACATGAATGCCAAATGGTAACGACAACGAAGTCCAATGTTGTTAGTAATGTCATGTCTCCACATATTACACCGCTAGCATCGCAATGTGGGCCATCACAAGAAACTATGAATAGTGGAGTACGTGATCCTAAGTGTGTAAAGAGAAACGGTGCACCGAAGAAACTTCGCAAGAAGAGCCCGTTGGAACCTAGTTCAAACAAAGCAAAGGTTAATACACTAATATTACCAATTACTTATGTGTTGTTTACTTAATATAAAGACCTTGTTGTGATGTCATGCAGGGGAGTTCGAGTACCTCCAAAGGAAATAGGCCAAAGGCACGACCAAGTAATGTTGGCGTTGACGCACATATCGTTCAAGTACCTCAACGGTCACAACATTGCATGACTACACCGTTCATGTATTCACAACTCCTAATGGTAAGTATATGTATATTATTAGATTAATATGGACAACAAATGACTTAAATAATAATTTTTGCAGGGTGATAGCCAAAGTCTTCCATTCACACAACAAAGTTGTATACTTTCGTCCGGCAATCATGTTCACTTCCATGGTCCAGGTAAATATATAGTTAAACATTCTACCTACGAGAGTGCATCATCTATTTAATTTCTTCTTTGGGTATTACTTATCGGATTGCATAGATTTTCAGGAAATGCCATACTTGTACCCACGCTTACCGGACCGAGATGGAGAAAACTCATGATTTCTTGGGAAAGAGGCACCATCTAGATAAGTTTTTCCATGCCAAGTTGTCCATGTGAAGCTGTTGCATTAAACTGGTTTTCAACATATACTATCTTCATACAAGTTTCAACATATGCAGGAAGAGAAAGAGGGTGGGGTGGGGTGGGGTTATTTACAAATATATAAATTACTATGCACACAAGCTGCCCACAGTTCATGTTCATCAGAAAGCAAGCTGTATTTGTTGGTCTTTATGTCAGTTGATGAACTTGAGATCCACTAGTAGTTAAAATATGTCATCATAATTTCTTCTGTGTTTGGAAACTTTGTTAAAGAATTTCTTCTGTATTTCATCATAATTTCTTCAAGGCACTAGTTTTCAAAATTTTCCAATGCTCTTATTGATGATGGTTTTAAGCAATCAAAATTAGACTATTCATTGTTTACCAAAGGTTTTGGTAGCATCTTTATTGCTCCATTAGTCTATGTAGAAGACATTCTCATCACTGGGTTTAATCAGCATGAGATTACCCACTAAAAATCTTACTGCACAATTAGTTTAAGCTAAAAGATCTTGGCTTGTTGAATTATTTTCTCAGGCTAGAAATAGCAAGGTCACAAAAGGGGATCTTCATTTCACAACGACAATATATCTGCGATTACTTGAGGATACCAGACTTCTAGCATGTAAACCAACTGCATTGCCTATGGATCCTAAACTGAAACTCAGTTCCTTTAAGGAAGAACTCATTGCTTATGCATCCATGTAAAAAAGACTAATTGGTCACCCTCTTTATTTCAGTTGAGAGCATTTGCAAATGTAGATTGGGGATCTCGTCTTGATGCAAGGAAATCAGTCATGGGTTATTGTGTCTTCCTTGTATACTTCTAATTTCTTGGAAAGCTAAGAAGCAAACTACACTATCAGATCTTTGGCTGAAGCTGAATATTGTGTGTTAGCTTTTACTGCCAGTGAACTAGTTTGGCTTACTCAAGTATTCCATGATTTTCAGATTTTAAATAAGGATCTGATGGAAATGACAGTAAAGGAAACTGAACAATTAGATCTCCTAGCAAGAAAGAAATGCAGTGTTACTTTCTCAAAGAGAAAATGTTGGTTGCGGTACCATTTTCTTGAGTAGCAGATAGCAATTTCACTTGAATTCATTCCACCAAAAAAGAGATTTTCCTACCAGCCTAGTAACTAGCCAATACATTGACATGTAGTCATTCATAATTCCAAACAAAGAAAAATTTGATGGATACATAGAGACTTCAAACTAGTGTAGAAAATCATGCCGACCCCTTTCCTTTCTCATCACATTCCACATTTGCCTTTCCTTTGCGTATTGTAACGGTTATCTCCACGTCTTTTTCTTGAGTTAATCGGCACATTGTTTCGAACATGCAAGAGACGTTGTTCTCTAATTCGATCGCCACATAATTATTGAAGGAGTTGCCAACGGAATTTGATTCACCGCACGTTTCACCATCTTTGACCCACTCCCAAAATCCACAATTTTTGCTACAACACTTGAACAATTTACCTTTGTTCATAGTGTTCTTCACCACTACAAAACACTTCACATATGCATCTCTACACCACGGGCACGGGACCTTGTTTTGACAATCCGCAAAGATGTGACCACGTCTTCTACATCCATGGCAGACTCCATCATTTTGTCCTGTCATTGTAAACTGCAATAAACACACTCAGTGACACATGATATGTGGCTTCAGTAAACTGCAATACACACATTCAGTACACATTTGAGCGACACATTCTTGCAGTACACATTCAGGCATGTATGTCATACAATGAATCTCACTCAGGCTTCATCAAACTGCAGTGCACACATTTCAGTTACACATTCTTGCAGTGATGTAATGCATTTCTTACAGTATACATTCAGGCATGTATGTGATACAATGAATTTCACTCAGTGACACATGAAATGTGGCTTCATCAAACTGCAATACACACATTCAGTGACACATTCTTGCAGTGATACAATGCAATTCTTGCAATACACATTCAGGCATGTGATACAATGAATCTCAGAATCTTGCAGTGCCCAGAGTCTCAGAACCCAAATTTCATTTTTCGAATGCAATTTTCATAAGTTCTTGTGATACAAAGAAACTCAGAATATAAGTCAACTTCAGCTCCTTCTTGCAGTGACCAGGCGTGTATGTGATATAAAGAATCTCATATTTTCGGTTCTTACTGAAAATTCAAAAAATACACAAATTTTATATGCTGATTTCGATATAACCATGTAAACTACAAGTAAAGTGGCTTCGACATACCCACGTAAACACATATCAGAAGCACCTAATTTACCTGCCGATTTCACCGGAGAAGATTGTTGTTGCAACTTCGAAGGTCGAACAAAATTATCGAGATAAATCGGACAACTGTAACTTCTTGGACTCCGTCTGCAGCGGCATTGAGTTCTACACTAGAGGAGGAGAAGGATGAAGATGGGACAGAGAGAAGAGATGGAGCTTCGACCGCCTTCGATTCACCTTCCAATCGCATCTCTACGTTTCGTCTGAGAATTGGGGAAATACAATGGGTTGGGCCGGGGCGTGATTTTATGCTGGGTCTTCAAATATCATTTCATTTGGTTTCGTTTATTTTAGTCTTTTTTTTTCCACCTCACTCTGTCAACCGGTTCTATACGAGTAGCAAAACCGTTTAAGATATTACCAAAACATAAATCCAATTCAAGAAATCGACAAAATGTTCACGACATTAATGATTAAATTACATAAATTTCTATGCTCCAAATCAACGATATGATCACTTCTGGCTTTTTAGCCATTTAAATTTTGTATATATCTTGTAAGATATACAAACTTATTTATTAAGAGAACAATTCAAGTCGACTCAACTCACATGGACAATCCAAATCATTTCCCACAGAATTCACCTAGTTGTTATTTTGTTGCTTTTTTTTTTATAAAAGTTAATGAAATATGTGATTGAAAAAATGTATGATTAATATTAAATGTTGATTTGGACTTACATGTTTGCTCAAATTTTTAAATGAATCAAACGTAAAAATAAATAAATAAATAAATAAATAAATAAATAAATAAATTACCAATCCGAAGATGGGACTTACAATAAATAAATAAAGAACTACACTTCATGTGCCCTAAGGCCCCTAGCCATATTCCTACTCATCATTCATCGAGATTTGTTTTCACTCTCGGATTCACTGTAGGAAGGAGGTCTTGTAAATTTATTACTGAACCCTAAATTCGAAAGTCTACAAACTTGTCAATTTCACAAATTTACCCAAAAATGTCCCCGAATATTCCCTTGTCCTAGGGTAGAAAGGTGGTGCCTCTGCTCTGACATCTCTTGTAATTGTCACCTTCAAGGTAGAGTATATTACCATACTTTTCATCTCTAATCTCATATTATTCAAATCGTTTTCAACTAATTATTGGATTAATTTTTTTTCTCACAATCAAACTCGAACCAACTTGCTTCATCAATACCACAGCATACATATCCCAGAAATCCAAATATTCATTTCAAAAAATGCCTACAAATGGAGGTACTTCTTTAAAGAATTCGACATATTTCAAACCCGACCCAATTAAGTGTTGTACACTTACAGCCCCCTCACTGTAGAGGGGGCCCCGCCTATTTTTTTAATCGGCACCCCCCCCCCCCCGGGGGGGGGGGGGGGGGGGGTTGTGAGGCATTTGTACATAAATACTTCTAATGTCTTGCTTATATATGTACAATATCAATCAAAGTTCCCAGTTCCCTTTAAAACTCTAATCCCATTCTGCAACATGAAAATGGTTGCTTCCACCTCAATTTTTATGTTCATTTTCTTGGTATATAGCAACTTGTAAGATTACAATTTCCAGTCCATTTTGTCCTCTGCCAGAATGTCCAGAGCACGCAATTCCATTATACAACGAAGAAATAGACATGATGCAGTTTGCTCTGAATTTGGAGCATTTGGAATCAGACTTTTTCCTGCATTCTGCCCTTGGATATGGCCTTGATGAGGTCGCACCATATTTAGTAATGGAAGGCCCTCCGCCAACTGGGGCTCAAAAGGCCCATCTTGATTTTCTTGCAGAGAATGTTATCACTGAATTCGGTTTTCAAGAAGTTGGCCACCTCAGGTCCATTTTTCTATTTTCATTTTTTATTTGGTTAAAACTAGGGCTGGACATTTTATCCGCCAAACCTTGGAATCGGCTCGTTTCGTGGTTGGCAGTCGGTTTTTGTGTCTAGTAGTTTAATTATTTTTCCCATAAAATTCAAGTGTATTTTACCATTGAAACCGACCCGAACCGGCTCGATTCAATTTGGATTAGTTTTTAACTAATGTTGAGTCCATTTCAAGTAGGGATGTCACCCAACCTGAAATGCGGTTTGGTGGTTAGATTGGGTCCATACCCAATCCATTTCAATTGGTCCCCACCTTGATTAAACCGACATAATTTAGATTCAGTTGGGTTTGATTTGGACGCCTATGAGTTCACTAATAACAATAAGACCTTAGGAAGAAGACGTGAAACCAGCTCAGGTCAATCTCTCTACTTAAACTTTTAGTCTCACATATTTTTGGTGATTGAAACAATTATATATTTATAAAGTTGATTTTTTATGAGTAAGTATTGAACTCGATCACTTCTTGTCATTAATTCTTTAATTATTCATTAATATCTATCCTGCAGAGAGACATTCAAATTGAAATGCTTGATCAATCTTTAGGTTACTTCTTGCAATTAATAGTTCATTGTTCAGTAAGTGATTGATAACCCTGTTCTTTTCTTTTCTTTTTTATGATAAAAATAAAAATTGTTTGTTTCGATTTTTATTTTTGTTTTGCAGGGCCATTAAATCAACAGGTTAATTATATGAATGGTCACTGAACTTTTCCCTATATTACTACTTAGTCACCGAACTTAAAAAATGTAACTCCATGGTCGCCGAACTTCGCCAAGTATTACTACTTCATAACCGAACTTTAAAATGTATCTCAATGTCACCGAACTTTGTACCGTGTTACCCATCCGTCACCTAAAATAGAAAAATCCGTTAAATCCAACAAATGGCTTCAACTTGAGTGATGGATGGATAACACGGTGCAAAGTTCGGTAACCATTGAAATACATTTTAAAATTTGATTATGAAGTAGTAACATTTTTAAGTTCATTGACTAAGTAGTAACATAGGGCAAAGTTCAGTATCCTTTCATATAATTGACCCTTAAATCAACTGTAGGTGGATTCCCAAGGCCTCTAATGGATCGTAGTCCCAAAAACTTTGCAAAATTGTTCGATGAAGCATTTGTATATGAACTTCTGCCCCCTTTTCACCCTTATCATGACGGCCTCAGTTTCATGGTGGCTTCTTATGTAATACCATATGCGGAACTACTTGGCTACGTGGGCACAAATCCTAACATCAATGGTTGTGTTACAAAGCGAGTACGCTACCTCTCAAATTTTGTCCCTATTTGGCCTTGTTTCTTAAAACTCATTTTCAACCTCATATTTCATGGAACCCATATTTATTTAACTTTAAAATTACTCGTGTAATTAAAAGTGTACTAATTGACCCTAATTCTTATTTTCTATATCAGCTTTTGGCAGGATTTTGAAAATAATTAAAGTTCAATGAGCGTACACCGAGACTACAGTGACCATTGCGATATTGAAGCCCCAAACTTCATAGAAAATGTTTCAATGTGAAAAATTAACTATTTACTTCAGCTTAGATTGAAATTTTAATTTTAATTTCGACTAAATTTGAAATGTGGAGAAGAATCTGGACAGGATGCATACGTTAGACGATATCTTCATGAATGAGCGCAATAAAGAAGTTATGCACCCATACAATCACACGGTAGCTGAGTTCACAACCCAAGTTTCCAAGTTAAGAAACCGGTTGGCAATGTGTGGAACCAAAGACGAAGGCGCCATTGTACCACCACACAACTCAGGACGGAGAATCGGACAGTAAGGCCCTGTTCTCTTTACCGTTTTCGGGTCGTTTTCTGTTTTCGATTTTTCAAAACGGTGAAAACGTGTTCTCTTTCCCGTTTTCGAAAACGTTTTCGAAAACGAAAAAAATTTGTGAAGAAAACAGAAAACGACTTTTTTGTCGTTTTGGGCGTTTTCAGTGTAAAACTTGAAAAAATTGAAAACG